AAAAGGTACAGACTCCACAAACCTTTGACAGTTAGCCCCACTGAGTCTTTGGGGAGAGCAGGCAGGGAGCCATGGCCAGTCCATGCTGAGTTTGGCCCTGAGCCCTCCAATGAGGCTTAGGGTTTTGGAGAATGGATAGGAGTTTTCAGGTGAACGGAAAGGAAGTACAATTCCAGGCGGACCCAGAGTGACCCAGAGTATGGTGTGTCTGCAGAGGAAGTGACATGGGGTGACAGGGCCCCAAGGAGTGAGGGTAGCAGCAAAGGGGAACATACTGGGATGCAGAGGGCCCAGGCACAAGGAGGTGGTCCAGCCACGCCACTGGCCCATGTTGCCAGAGAAGACACGCTGGGCCACCGAAATCCCATGACGTCATGTTCCTCCAAATTCAGACCTGGCTTCGTCTAACTTCATGGGCGTGTCCCAAACTCAGTCTGAATGGGCTCTTGGGGGACTGAGGGGGTACACAGGTGAACTCTCAAAAAAAAGGCAGCATTTCCCCCTTCACTCAGGTAATAGTTTACAGCACCCTCCTCGTTACGAGGCCAGCACTCCACCAGCCAAGAAGCAGACATCTTTCATTCCCATTGATCCTTTCCGATGGGATCAGCCTTCCAAGGTGCTGAGGCAAAACCTTATAGGACAAGGAACCACAGGAGGTTCAGGCACCCAGGCCAGGGTGGGGGAGAGGATGACATTAATGCACATTTTTTATTTATTGAAATAGTTAAAGGTTATTGTGCCAACCTGGCCAATAAACAATGTGGGGTTAATTGAAGGGTGGAGAGATAAATGGCTCGGTGAGCCTCGCCTTTCTAGTTCTCGGGTGTCTTGCTTTGTGATGGTCAGAGCAGGGTGCAGCTCCCTTAGCCAGTTCCCTGCGTCAGCTGGCAAGGCTCACTTCTTGCAAGACATCCCCGAGGAGAAGCCACATGGATCTACCCCCATGCAGCCCAGGGGTTTATATAAAACCCGCTCTTATACATATGAGTTTCTGTGGATATGTTTCTCTAATGTACCCAGACTCACACATGCATTAACGAACAAACTAACCTCGGTGAGAGACTGCTGTATTAGCCTCGGGAGACGCCAGGCTGGAGAAGGACCCCCTGCTTGGTGAAGTCGAGGGGCAGCGACAAAGAGGAAGGCCCTCGACTAGGTGGATGGGCACCGTGGTGGCATCAATGGGCTTAACCATCAGACAGTGGTGAGGATGGTGCGGGACTGGGCGGGTGTCCTTCTGTTGTGCACGGGTTGCTATGGGTCGGGACAGACTCGACAGCCTCTAACAGCAGCCACCTCAGTGAAACGAGCTTTAATGAAGCTCTCCTTTGCGCGATGTCAGGCTGGGGCACTTCGTGTAGCATCTCATTTAATGGTCTCCATCGAGCTTACAAGGGAGGTTTTGAAGAAAAGGACTCTGAGGCTCAAGAAAGATTGGGCAACCTGCTGGGGTCCTTCTCCAACACTCACTTTTCCCAGGCTCAGATCTGGGTTTGGTGTTACCTGAGATTTGCCTGCAGGAGGGGACTGAGCCTTCAGTCTCCTCCTGGCCCACAGCCTCCCTTCCCTGCCTTCTAACTGTCCTCTAGTTCGAAGGGCAGGAGATCGCCCTGGACTCGCGCATGGGCATCTTCATCACCATGAACCCCGGCTACGCCGGCCGCACAGAGCTGCCTGAGTCAGTGAAGGCCCTCTTCCGGCCCGTGGTGGTCATTGTGCCTGACCTGCAGCAGATCTGCGAGATCATGCTCTTCTCCGAGGGCTTCCTGGGTGCCAAGGTGAGTACGGTGCCATCCCCAGCCTCTGGCGGCACGCTCTTCCTCCCCTCGCCCTCTGGTAATTTTCTCCTTCGCAAAACTCTCTAACTCCCCAGAAGAAGCAGAAACAGCAGAGCCTTCCAGAGTGCCCCTCACCCAGTCTCCTGGCCCCGCCTCTGCCCCTATAAGATGACCTTACACAATCGTGACACATGGCGCTTGCAAAAAATTTCCTGGGAAAATGCCACGGTTCTCTCAGCCTGGTTTCCCACAAACCTTGAAGCCCCCGCATACCCTGTCAGAGGCAGGAAGCTGAGGTCGCCCACGGCCAGGGTCTCAGGTTCAGCCATCACTTGATCACACCGGGTTCTCATTTTCTCTTTCGTTCCCCGTGATGGTGCCTTGGTGGCACGGTGGGCTAAGTGCTGGGCAGAAAACAAGATAGTTGGAGTTTCTAACCCACTAGCTCTGCATTAGAGAAAGAGGGCGGCTGTTGGCTTCCATAGAGATGTCAACCTTGGCGACCCTGTTGGGCAGTTCTACTGTGTGCTGCATGGTTCCCAGAGCCAGATTCTACTCTGCGCCAGTGTGTTTGGCTTTTCTTGCTCCATGTAAAATCATGCACGTACCTTTTTTCACAAGGTTCTGTAAAGGTACAAAATAGGCAATGTTTTTTATCACAGAGGTGGTTAGATTTATTTTCTGAGGGGTGTGTGTGTGTGTGTGTGTGTGTGTGTGTGTAAAAGAGAAAGCCCCGAGATCCCTCTATCCACAATGAGGGATGGGAGAAAAGTGCTTACTTACTAAAGAGAGGGCCCTGGAGAGATGCGTATAGAAGATCAAAGGCATAAGTATGACTTCAACAGTTAAAACTGTCAGTTTGATTCCCCCTCTGATGCATGCAACATATTCTGTAATTTGTTTTTGTTTGTACATGTTAGGGGTTGTCTTAGAAGTGTTACATCATTGGGTGTATAGTTAAGTTTATTGTGCCAACCTTGCCAATAGAAACATGCGGGATTAATCAGGTCACAGTTTGATCCGAGGGCAAAGAGATAAGTGGCTCTGCAAGGCCTTCCCCCTGCTCTCTTGCTCTCTGGTGATCAGACCAGTGTGCTGCTGCTTTAGCATCAATCCGTGAGCTGCACTACCTGTGGGCTGAGCCAACCCGCGGATCATGTTGTTGGACATTGAGGCTACTTCGAGACCTGTTTGACCATGCCGCTGGTGTGTACATCGCTTGAGCTTGAGGCTGGTGGATCCTGTTGCCTGGCATTGCTTGAGTTTGATATCCCATCCTGGCCTGCTTCACTAAGCTGCCAAACTGACTGTTGGTGACCCACCCAGGTGTTTGCTGCCTTTGAGCAGACTCTGCTTGCCTTGACTGAGGGAGAACTCTGCTGTTATCTTCCTTAACCCTGGACCCGGGCAGCCCATGTGAGTTGAAGGACTTCCAGTATATTAACTGTTCCATGGAAGTGAGTTGAACTGAACCCTCTGTACTGCTGTATGGACCAATTAGCTTTTATATTCCTTCTCACTGTATAAACCTATCCTCATCTATCTATCTATCTATCTATCTATCTATCTATCTATCTATCGATCGACCGATCGATAGATAATCATAAGTGTCTTGGTTTTGTTTCTCTAGAGAACCCTGCCTAACACATTGGGGGTTACCCTCTTGAAGTTGTGTTATATGTTTTTTCTCTTTTTCGATGTATGAAACCCAGGATTGGTGAACCCATAGGAATAGCAAGTAGAATAATGGTTTCAGGGGCAGGGGTACAGTGGTGGTAATGGGGTAAAGGAGACGATGTCAAGGAGTCCAGGCAGAAAAGGAATTTTTGGAACCTGATTGTAGTAGCAATTGTGTAATTATGCTTGACATAATTGAACTGTGGAATGATATGATATA